AAGTGTCTGGTTTATGTGGCCCTTTCTGTCTCTTAGGCTGATACTTTCCTTGTGTCCATGGTGTTCTCTGGTTTTTATTAATGACTCAAAGTTCTTTGTTGGTTATACGTGTTGCCAATATCTCCTCTCATGCTGTAGTTTGTCTTTTCACTCTATGGTATCTTTTGATAAGCAGAAAATCTTGATTGTAATGTGATCAAATTTATGTATTTTTTCCCTTATAGCTTTCCATGACATGTAGACTAAAATTCAGAGTTTTTATTGTGACCTGCAGAGTTTAAAATGATCTGTCCCCTGACATCCTTTCTAATCTCACCTTTCAATAGTGACTCCTTCCCTTATTCGGCTCCATGCAGCAAGTTCCCTTGCTGTTCCTAGAGCATATCAAACATGCTCCCTAATCTGCCCTTTATATCCCTGTGCCTTCTGCTTGAATTGCTTTTTCCAGGATCTTCTCATGATTCATCTCCTCACTTCATTCCAGTCTTTGCTCAAATATCTCCCCCTTAGATACACCTAAGGAGCTTTGGTGGTGCAGTGGTTAAGCTCTTGGCTGCTAACCAAAAGGTGGGTGGTTGGAACCCACCAGCAGCTCCACGGAAAACGTGGTGATCTACTTCCATAAAGATTATATCATTGGAAACCCTATGGGGCAGTTCTATTCTGTCCTATAGGATCGCTATGAGTTGGAATTGATTCTGTGGCAATGGGTTAGATACACGTTCCTTGATCTATCTATAAAATAGCAGCCCCCATCATTCTCTATCTTTATATCCTGCTTTGTTTTTCTTTATAACATGTATACATACTAACACATACATCCTAATACAATATTTATGTTTTCCGGTTGCTGAGTAGATTCCAACTCTTCACGAGCCCATGTGCGTTAGAGTAGAACTGTGTTTTATTCTGTGTATTTTCAATGGCTGATTTTTTGGAAATAGATCACCAGGCCTTTCTTTCAAGGAGCCTCTGGGTGGACTAGAACCTCTAACGTTTCTTTAGCACCCACGGATTCCAATATATATTAGTATCTTTTTTTTTTCCTATTGAATTTTTCCTGTATTACAATGTCAGCTCCATGAGGGCAGGAATTTTTTTTTTAGCAATAAATTATTTTTTAACTAAGGTATGTACATTGTTTTAGACATAATGCTACTGCGTTCTTAATAGACTACAGTATAGTGTAAACATACCTTTTATATGTTCTGGGAAACCAAAAAATTCTTGTGATTTGTTTTATTGAGATATTTATTGCGGTAGTCTGGAACCGAACTCTCAGTATCATCGAGGTTGTTGTTGTTATTGTTAGGTGCCCTCGAGTGGGCTCCAACTCATAATGACCCGGTGTATAACTGAACCAGACACCGTCAGGTCCTACATCATCCCCACAATCACTGCCATTCTTGAGCCCACTGCTGAAGCCATTGTGTCAGTCCATATGGTTGAAGGTCCTTCTCTTCCCCGCTACCCTCCACTCCACCAAGCATGAGGCCCCCCTGCAGAGACCCCCCCCCCCCCCCGCCCCCACTGCACGTCCAAAACACTTGAAGTCTCACCACCCCTGCCCCTAATGAGCACTCTGGCTGCACCTCCTCCAGGACAGACCCACTTGGTCCTCTGGCAGTCCAAGGTATGCTCAACATTCCTCGCCAACACCAGAATTCAAACCCATCAACTCTTCATTGGTCCTCCCTACCCACCGTCCCACACGCATATGAAAGCTGGACAATGAACAAGGAAGACGGAAGGAAAACCCATTCACCCGAACCATGGTGTTGGCGAAGAACATGGAACACACTATGAACTGCCAGAAGAACCAACAAATCCGTCCCTCAAGAAGCACAGCCAGAAAGCCCCCCAGAAATGAGCGAGGATGGCAAGACCCCAGAGAGCAGGAATTGCTGTCTGCTTGTTCACTGCTATACCCTCAGCGCCTACAACAGTGCCTGACACATAATCGGGACTCACTAAACTGCCAATAAACAGTGTAGACAGGAGAGGAAAGAAAAAAAAGGAAATAAAACTCGGCCAGCCGGAGCTCTTAACTACACGTACATAATCCCCAAGACCCTCTCCAGCTGTTCCTTGCCCCCGCTGAAGTCCCGTTTGGGAATTTCGCACTTTCAGCATCCTTCCCCCCTCGCCCCCCCAAAAGCCCAACCAGCTCCGTTTTCCTAACTTTGGTCCGGGAGCCAGACTAAGGACGCCGAAGTACAGCCCGCCCACTGCGCGTGCGCATTCCGCCTCGTGCATCACCCGTGCAGGTCCATATCGCGCGCCCGGCGCGTGCACCGGACCACAGCAAGCTGCGCCTGCGCAGTCCGAGCCTAAGCCTTAAGCTACGCTCGACGGGTAAAGTCGGTCCGATGGCCTGAGAGGGTTCGGCGCGATCCTGACTGCAGTTCGGAAGGCCGGGGTGGGGAAGGCAGCAGAGACAGCTTGAAACTGAAGGAACGTCCTCCGGGCCCAGAGCCAACCGCTCGCGCAGGCGTTCACGCGCTCTGGACTCCATTTCCCAGCGGCCTCCGCGGCCCGGCCCGGCCGCCAGCCCGAGCGCCGTGGCCTCTTTGTGAGTCGGTCCCTTCGGCTGCAGGATCGAGTCCCGGCCCCCCTCCCGCGGGGGCGCTCGGCTCCCGGCCTCTGCGGACCGCCCGGAGCCGGCGTCGACTCAGAGGGAGGCGGCGGTCAGGAGTCAGGGGCTTGCTCGCCCCTGGGCAGGATCGCCGGGCTGGAGGAGGTGCCGGGAGCAGCCGCGCCCCCGTGTGTGAAGGCGACCTGTGACAGCATGTGCGACAGTGTTATCATGTTCGACTGTGAACAGTGTGACCGGGTGCGACTGTGTGATCGTGAGGGACCGAGTGAATAGTGTGGCTGTGTGAGCTTGTGTGGGACTGAGTGAATAGTGTGGCTCTGTGAGCCTGTGTGAACAGTGTGACTGTATGAGACTGTGTGTGAATAGTGTGACTGTGTGCGACTCTCTGAATAGTGTGACCATGAGGGACTGAATGTAAATATTGTGACCGCGAAGGACTGTGTGAACAGTGTGTGTGCGACTGTGTGACCGTGAGAGACTGAGTATGAACAGTGTGACTGGGTGAATAGTGTGACCGTGAGAGACTCTGTGAATAGTGTGACCGTGAGGGACTAAGCGTGAACAGTGTGGCCCTGAGGGACTGTGTGTGAATAGTGTGACCTTGAGGGACTATGGGTGAACAGTGTGACCATGAGGGACTGTGTGTGAACAGTGTGGCCATGTGTGAATAGTGTGACTGTGAGAGACTATGAACAGTGTGAGACTGTGAATAGACTGTGACCGTGTGAAACTGTATGCGAATAGGTTGTGTGAGACCATTTGTGAACAGTGTGGCTGTATGCAACTGTGATCATGTGAGACCATGTGTGAATAGTGTGTGGCTGTATGACAGTGTGTGTATGTGACAGTATGTGGCCATGTGAGATTTAACCGTGTGAGACTGTATGAACAGTGTGATTGTATGAGACCATGTGTGACCGTGTGACACTATTTGTGTGTAACAGTGTGATAGTGAGTGGGACTGTGTGAACAGTGCGATTATGTGAAACAATGGCTGAGACTTGTGACACTACTTGAGATTGTGTGTCACAGTGTGTGATGGTGTGACTCTGGTCATGTGAGACTGTGTCTGACCATGTCTGTGACCATGTGAGATTGTATGATTGACCTTGGAGTCCTGTGTGACAGTGTATGTCACCATGCATCATTGTGACAGTATTGACAGTAACCTGAGAGTGACCATTTGTGGTCCATTGTAGGGGGAATGGTGGGCTACAGCACAGGGGCGTGTCCACAGGCTGCCAGGGGAGTTGTCAGCATGTGAGGTTGTATGGTTTATGTGTCTGTGGTTTGTGTGGTAGGGGGAGGCTCTGTGGGTGCCCTGGGAAGCCAGGTGCTCCAGGGTTTGGGAATCTGTGTTAGGGGAAAGAGATTGAGATGAAGGAGAGAGAGAGATAGCGAGGGGGACAGCATTTAAAAAGGCAAGAGAAGGAGGAGAGAGAGAGGCTGAGAGGAGTCCCAGCCTTAGGCCTGGAGAGCAGAAGACCAGGCTGCTGGGCTCAGCCCTCTCTGGCACAGGAGGACCGTCTTTCCATTCGTCTTCTAGTCTTTGGGGTGTGTGAGGAATTGAGGACAAAAAGTCAGAGGAGACCTACTACACTTCAGGTGCTTTGCTTAGCTTATATGGCCATGCTGAGATTTGAATCCAGGTCTGTTAAGACTCTACCACATGGTGCTGCCATCTTGGAAAAGTATTCATGAAAATAAATGACTGATGTTTTATGAGCACAAAGGATGTGCCAGATACTATGCTAAATGTTTTATGTGGGTCATTTCATAATCCTCCCAAAAACTGATGGGAGTAGGTACCATTTTATTGATAAGGAAACAGGTTTGGAGTAGTTACGTGGACAGTCACAGAGCTAGTGAGTTGAGGATCAGGTGTTTTGAGTGCAGGCGTTCTGATCTCTTAGTGGTCTTACCACTAAGTTATCCTGCTTCTGAGGTAATTGTTTACTCTTCAAGGCAGTGAGGTTTACTGGAAAAGAACTCATCATGATTAAGGGGTTCAGGGGATTGTTCATGCATAGTGTCTGTCTTTCTTTCTCTGAGGAAATTGCTTAGAAAAGTCTAATTGGTTTTCAGGTGCAGTTTGTCATAAGCCAGAACCAGAAGCAGGGTGTCCTGACTCATTTCGTCCATTGTCCTCCAAGCCACCTGGCCCCTCTAATGCCTACTGTCTATAAAATCACCTTGTGGATTTATCTCTCATTCTTGTAGAAAGGGTAGCAAAGTATTTCTCTTCAGCATCATCATCTAGTGGAAAGGCTGAGAAGTCTGACCTGGATTCCACTTTGACTCAATTTCTTACTACCATGGAACCTTAGATTATTTCACCTATGAAGATTGTTGTGTGAAAGAGGGGAAATAACCCCTACTTGGTAGAGCCATTCTGAAGGGTAAATGCTGTTATTGTGTATAATTATAAATGGTAGAGCCATAGGTATGTGCTGTTATTGTGCATAATTATAAATGACGTGACTTATGCACAGAAAATTTATATTGTATTTTTGAGTTCTACAGCACAAAGGAAGAAGAATTGTAAACTTAGATATGAGTGACTACTTCAGTGATGCCTCTTATTCTCTGGTCAGGGGAGAAGGGGGAAGAGAAGGAAGAGAGGGTTTCTAGGCTGGTGATACTGGGAGCTGCAGGGCAGGGCTCGCATTTTATGGTTTCTTTCACCCTCTCCAGCTCCACCTTCTCAGAACACTGCCCTCCAAGGGAGAAGCCTGAAGGGGGAGGATAGAGGAGCTGTCATTAATTCTTCCATTCTTAAAGCCATGTCCGAGGTAAGGGAGCATTTCTTTTCTCTTCCCTGAAATGCCATCTTGTTTTTTAGATTATACGAACATTTTGGTTTTCTTCTAAAATTTATCAGCCTAACAGAGTGCAATTCATCCCGTAATCTGATCCTCATTTCCTCCATTCCAGTAAAAAGAAGGTCCCCAGAAGCCCAGTGAGCTTCCTTTTTTTCCCCAGCCAGCATTTTCATCTTCATTCAAGAAATGGTTCAGCACCTCCTCTGGGCTCAGGGTTATGTTAGGGGCCCTCATGAGGCAGAAGACTCCTTGGTGAGAAATGACAGCCCTCACTGGGGGGACTGGCTTCATTGAGGTTGAGGTGTATGATCAGACCACTAGCTTAGAGCTTTCCCACAGACCTGGGTCTGAGAGGAGGGCAAGCTAGGAGGGCTGTTTGGTGGTCTTATCCATGGTACACGGCAAGGTCTCTTGCTCACCATGATGTGCTGGGTCTTGAGTATTAAAGTGTGCATCATGAACTGACAGGTCTTTATTCTCAGGCTGCTTTTAAGATTTTTCTCTTTGTCTTTGCTTGTAAGCAGTTTGGATATGATGAGCCCAGCTGTGACTTCCTTTGTCTTTTTCTTGCTTTAGGTTCATAAAAGTGTTTGTAAAAGCAGGGTGACTGTGGAGGTCACCATGGTGTGCTTCTCTTCTCTGAAGGATTGTAGCCCCTCAAGTCCTGTCTGTATTGATTGCTCTTCTATGCTCTCAAGAAGTCGTTTTATAGTATTTTGTCCTGCATTTATAGTAGTTTTCAGCAGGAGAGATTTTTCCAATAGAGTCTACTCTATCAGGGCTGGAAGGGAAAAGATGATAAAATTGGTTAAATTTAAAAAAAAACGAGGAAAAGAGAACTTTACTCACAATAAAAATTTATTACATGTAAACATATAAACATTTATTTAACACCTACTCTGCCAGGTTTAAGGAGGCCTGGTGGGGCCCTGGTGGCACAGTGGATAAGTGCTATAGTTGCTAACCAAAAGGTCGGCAGTTCGAATCCACCAGCCACTCCTTGGAAACCTGTGGGGCAGTTCTGCTCTGTCCTGTAGGTGGCTATGAGTCAGAATCAACTTGACGGCAATGGGGTTTTTTTTTTTTTTTTTGGTGCTGCAATAGTTAAGCGCTTGGCTACTAACCGAAAGGTCAGTGGGTTGAACCCACCCAGTAGCTCTTCAGGAGAAAGGCCTGGCGATCTGCTTTGGTAAATATTACCTGTTGCTGTCGAGTCGATTTCCGACTCATGGCAACCCGAAAGGACAGGGTAGAACTGCCTCATAGGGTTTCCAGGGAGCGGCTGGTGGATTCAAACTGCCAACCTTTTGGTTAGCAGCCGAACTCTTAACTGCTGTTACAGCCTAGGAAACCGTATGGGGGCAGTTCTACTCTGTCACATGGGGTGGCTATGAGTCAGAATTAACTTGACAGCAGCCAACAACATCAAGTATATATATATAGGAGTCTGTGGGTGGCACAGATGGCTAAGCACTCACCTCCTGACCAAAAGGTTGGCAGTTTGAACCCACCCAGAGACGCCTCAGAAGAAAGCCCTGATGATCTGCTTCTGAAAGGTCACAGCCATTGAAATCCCTATGGGGCAATTCTACTCTGTAACATGTGGGGTCACATTGAGTCATAATCAGTTTGACAGGACCCAAAAACAACTGCCAGGTTTATTCAGACTATTTTGTGCTTGCAATAAGGAGAAGCAAAAGACGCAATCCTTGACTTCAAGGAACTCACAGTCTTCTGAAGGAGACAAGCAGACAAGTCTAAGGCATCGTGGTGCGTGGCAGGTCAAAAATAAATCCCAAGAGAGCTATGAGCATCTAGAAGAGGAAGCACTTCAGGGTACCAAGAGGATGGTCAAGGAAGGAAGGGATGGCTTCAACGAGGTGGTGATGAGCTGAGTCTCAAAGGGAGAGTAGTTCTGCAGGCAAGATGAGATGAGGCAGTCTTCCAAGCAAAGAGAAGGATTATTCATGAGATAATTTAGCCTGAACATTTTTTAGTTTTGACAGATATTTACCTATAGCATCACTCTTGTTGTCCAGGTGATATCACATGGTATAAATCTTATTTACTAATCCCCTGCTTGTCTCCAGTTAGGTGAGTCTTAATTTTCACAATGATGTTGCAGAGATCAGCTCTGTTTCCTTAAAATCCTAGAAGGTTTTTCTTTCCATTGAGACTTGTTGCTGTGTGCCGTCTAGTCGATTCTGACTCATGGTGACCCTATAGGACAGAGTAGAACTGCCTCATAGGGTTTCCTAGGTTGTAATCTTTATGGGAGCAAATTGTCAGGTCTTTTCTCCTGCGGAGCCACTGGGTGGGTTCGAACTACTGACCTTTCGGTTAGCAGACGAGCACTTAACCATTGCACCACCAGGGCTCCTTTCCATTGAGACTAGGAATTCCCAAACTTACTTAATCTCAGAAAAATTTTAGTATAGTATTTTGAACCAGCAAGAATAGGAGCTGATGAAAAAATAATTCAGGCTTCGAGTAAGTGTTGACCCCTGTTCTCCCTCCCTTGCCATTCCACCCCCAGTTAGAGACCCTAATCCTCCAGGGTGATCTTAAGAACATATGGAAACTCTTATACAGGTGGGTATTACCTTTTCTTAGCCGTGGGTTTTAGATTTTTGGCATTTGTTTCCAAGAAGCAATGATGTGTTGAGACAGTGTGCATAATCAACTATGCGATTTATTATCAACACTGACTCCAACCCAGGGACCAGAGTCAGCAGAAGAAGCAGTGGGCCAGTGGTACCTGGAACCACTCTCTACAATGGGCAGCCTCAATTTGACCCTTTTATACGAAAGTCAAGAAGCCCTGGTGGCGCAATGGCTAAGTGCTTGGCTGCTAACTAAAAGGTCGGTGGTTCGAACCCACCAGCTACTCTGCAGGAGAAAAGGCCTGGTGACCTTCTCCTGTAAAGATTTCGACCTAGAAAACCCTGTGGGGCAGTTCTGCTGTGTCACATGGGGTCTCCATGAGTCAGAATAGACTTGACGGCACACAACAACATAGGAAGGTCATTTCTCCACCTCGTGATCTCATCCTTGGTCTGTGTTGTAGACCCCTTCCCAGACTATCCTTTAAAGGGGAGATGAGTAGACTTACAAGCAGCTCTGTTCCTCATTTGCGTTGGGTTTTCCGTATAACAGCATTACCTAAGGTGGGCGCCCTTGTTCTAGGGCAGCTTGGCTTGAAACATGCCCAGTTTATATTCTAATCGGGGCTGTTTTCTAATAGTAAGTGGCTATATCACAAATACACAAAAACGTTGCTCAAAATAAGGTTGCTTTTTCTAGTTCATATCTTATGTACAAATGTAAAGTGAAGAACATTTTACTTTATGTTAAGATGATTTTGTTCTTAATAAAATGTTCGCATTTTTTATACTTATTATTCTAAGTTTTTTCTTTTTTTTTTTTGAGTACGTGGAACAGGTTTATCTCACTAGGAGAATACCCATTTTGAGTTTTTAGGGCTCAAACTAGGTCTTTCTCCATGTTATAACAAAGATCCTTAATTCCATACGCAGTAGTATTATTTGAGAGCCGTGCTGTAACATTTTAAAAACTCTTACTCGCTAGGCATGTACCACTGTGTACCTCTAGTGAGAGTGGTAGGTATTTTTCGATGCACTTTGTTGTCAGATTTGGAAATGTTTACTATTTAACTAAGATGATGCTAAAAGTACTGTTATCTTTGTCTCTTAGGCAGCATGATAAGTTATCAACTGTCTTTGAAATTTAGTGGAGTTACCAAGAGCTGTTAGATAATCTTTTATTGCCCCTTATACACTGAGTGTCAGGAGAATTTTTATTGCCAGAGGAAAGGCATCCCAAACCAAGTAACTTTTATTGTACTTCTTTGGATTTAATTAATGTTTAACGTACTACAAACAAAAGACTTAGGTTGCTGTTGTAAGATGTATAATGATGCAGAATATTAAAAATATGTAATATTTAGTATGAAATGTGTAAGATACATCAATGAGATGATATGTATCACTTTGACAGCTGGCTGACAAATGTCTTTGCCACCAACCACAAATTCAGTGATATTTGTGATTGATCACCCAACTTCCTGATTGCTGTCTGTTATAACATACATTTAAGTCATATTTTTGCAAAATCACTATAAAACGTTTTATTATTTTCAAGAAGATCAATATAACAGTTATCAAGTATAATTGTCTTTTTATATATTGATCTCTTTGTAACATTGACCATTCCACTGTACAGTTTGAAAAATGTTGATTTAGACCACATGACATTTTTAAGGCTCAACTCAGGGCCTGCTCTTCCTTGAAGCCTTTTTTCACTGTCCTGGTCTATTCTGATTTCCCCAGATTGAAAAATGCTCTAGCATTTAGTATGAATAACGTATTGTTTTACCTTTGATTGTTTATAGTGTTCTGTATAGTGTTCTGTTGTTGCCCAATTTTGTGTATGTGTTATCTTTTCTCCTCTACAGGATTGTAAATTCTCCACAAGTAGAGATTATCTCTGAAATTGTACACTTTCCATGACAAACAAAAGTAAGCACAAAGAAGTTGTCTAGCAATTTACTTGACATGGGTCACTCAGAACCTAAGATACTGCCAGAAAATTTCACTATCTGTAATGTTTCTCTCCAGAAGTGTAGACAATTTAACTCTTCAGCCTAGGCCTGTGTAAGGGTATGAACACTGAGCAAGAATGTGTTTCTGTCATTTCAGGATTTGGTGACATTTGGGGATGTGGCAGTAGATTTCTCTCAAGAGGAGTGGGAATGGCTGAACCCTGCTCAAAAGACTTTGTACAGGAAGGTGATGTTGGAGAACTATAGGAGCCTGGTATCACTGGGTAAGGAGGTCTCCCTGTATTTCAGAATCTGCACACAGGGCTGTTTTCCAATGTGAATGTTTGGGAGCCCTTTATGTGCCTCACTAAATTCTCTTCTTGGGCCCCCAAAATAGTTTGTAGAATTGGCAACTTTATTAGACTATTCCTGCAATTTTATCTCCCCCGTCCTTCATATATTCTTAACCACTTCCTCAACTCCCTCCCTTCTTAATATAATGTCCCTCCTTTCCCAGTGACTGAGGAACTTGATCTGACCTGTGGGTTTGGCTAATTCCCCTTTTATTTCTTGTAAGCAGGAGCTTCTCTTTCTAAGCCAGATGTGATCTCATTACTGGAACAAGGAAAAGAACCCTGGACTGTGAAGAAGCAGGGGACAAGAGGCATATGCCCTGGTGAGTCAGAGAGAACCAGGGAAGTAGAAACCATTGCCAGTAAAAACTCAGCTTTTCTCCAAGGCTCAAGGCCTGGGCAGAAACATTGAGGTATCTTTAGCTTGAACCCCTTCTGGCTTATTCTCCTTATATATCTTCTCTCACCTATTTCTGTTTTCTCTGATAACCCATGTTCCTATTCTCTGGATTGAAATCCACAGCTTATCCTTGTCCTTGCATAAGTTGCTCCATTCCATTTTTTAAAAATCCAGACACTACATTGCTTCTCCCCACTTTTCAGTCACTTCTTCCTTTTAGACTGATTGATGTACTTATTCTTTTAGACAGACTCATTGAATTTCTGCTTTGAGCAAAGTAAAGTACTCTGCTAAATTCTTGGGACTATTCAGAGCTTATAAACAGTCAAAAAAGAAAGCATCTCCAGTTATATTTTCAAGTCTGGGTAACTGGATGGTGATAGTGTTTAATAAAAACAAGTCAGAAGAAAAATAGGTTGGTAGGGGAAAAGATGATAAGTTTGGCTTGGGACATAAGAAATTTAATTATTTTTATGAGATGGGAGAGTTATGAGATAAGAAATGTAACATGAAATTGGATAGGGAGACAGAGGCTCAAAAAAAAGTCTGATTTAGAGATGTCAGTGTGAATGAATAAAATCGCTGGTCTTAATTTTTTTATTGTACTTTAGATGAAGGTTTAAAGAGCAAACTAGTTTTTTATTAAACAATACACATATTGTTTTGTGACATTGGTTGCCTACTCCACGTCACGTCAACACTCTTCCCTTTTTGACCTGGGTTCCCCATTAACTGATCTTAACATTTTGAGAAACAAATCCTGAGGCCTTTGGGAGGAAATGGATCTTTGACCGCTTTCTTGGTACAGTAAAACCTGCAAAAGCTGGAAACGCTGTAAGGTGGAAACCTGTCAGAGAAGGAAACTCAAATATTTTTCCCACTAAAAGGAGCGATAGAAAAGTGGTAAGACTGCACCCTGTCAAAGGTGGAAACCTTATGAGACCCAGAAAAACAAGGCAGTTCTGTTGAATTCTGGCTCTCACAGGTTTCACTGTATTATCTTTGGTAAGTGGTTTCCACAGTTTCTGTCTTGAGTCAAATTATGTAATTTATTTTTCTAGGTTGTTATCCTTTTCATTTAGGTTATCAGATGGATTCAAGCCAAGTAATATCCTGTACTTCTTAGTTTTTGAGTTCATTGCTGTTTTGTCAATTTTATTTACTTATTTTAAAGATTCAGCTTATGGATTTACCTATTAGTTACTGTCTTTTCTTCTAATTCTCTATTTTTTACTTTTCTTCTTAACTAATTCTTTGCTTCTAATTTCCTTAGGTTTATTTTGGTCTTCATCTTCTTGAAATGAATGCTTAAACGTTTCATTTCATTCTCTGTTATTCAGTAGTGAAATTATAAAGGGTTATGAATTTTCCTCCAAATATGGCTTTAAGCTCTCTTTCATAGGTTCTTATATTTAGTGTTTTTGTTATTGCTGTTTTCTTGATAATCTAAGTTTTTTTTTATTTCCCTTTCATTAAAGAAATGTTTAAAAGAGAGTTTTCTGGTCTCATTAATTTTGATCAGATAGTTTTATAGTTCTTGATCAGACAGTGATTGGTACTAGTTCTCTTTTTTTTACTATTTGAGGCTTCTGTGGCCTAGTTAGTTTTTGTAAATGTTCCAGAGGTTCTAAAGTATAGTCCCTATTTTGAGTGCAAAGAGCCCATTGTATATCATGAGTGTTACTTTGCAATTGTTATTAAAGGCTGTCTTTACTTACCATCCACTTTTTGTTTCCTTCCATTCGTTTTTCTTAACAACTATGTTAAGAAATAATTTTATATACAATAAACTGCATTCATTTAAATTGTACAATGTGAAGAGTTCTGACAGTTATATGCACTGAGTTAATGGGTCAAGCAGATATCTGGGGAAAAGTCCTCTGCAGGCAGAGAAACAGCAAGTGTAGTATTCTTAAGATAGGAATAGAAGGAATACCCACATAGCTAAACTGGAATAAGAAGGAAGAGAGTAGCAGAAAATATGGTCTGAGAGGGCTAGATCATATAGAGCTTTGTAGAGCATGGTAGGAACTGTGGATGTATTATAAATGTGGGAAGAAACCATTGGAAATTCTTGAGCAGAGGAATGAGATCTGACTTGGGAATGGAAAGAGGAAGACTAATTAAGACCTGCATTAGACTAATACAAGTAATAAGATGCAAAATTATTTTTATATCAAGTCACCTTAGGTTCAGGGATCAATTGAAAATTTATACTTAGTTGGAATATATTACATAGAAAACAATTTTCAGGAAGACCATTTTCTGACTGCAAAAAGTTAACCATAGAGTTTTACGTACAACTAAGGCAACTAATAGCAACTGGAGTGTCTTTGGGTCTGGGGGTCTTGTGGAGGTTTTTGAGCCACATTTTCAACATTATGAAATTGACTTAAAAAATAATTAACGTATTTGAATGCAGGGTAACCAGAAGCAAGAGAGAAATGGTATTTGGAAACTGTTATGTTAACTTAGATATAAAATGATGATTATAATTTCATATGACTTCTTCATTATTTTTTCTGATATTTACGTTACTGATTAAACCCAACACCCAAACCCACTGCTCTTGAGTCTGTTCCAACTCATAGTGACCTTACAGGACAGGGTAGAACTGCTCCATAGCATTTCCAAGGCTGTAAAATCTTTATGGAAGCAGATTGCCACATCTTTCTCCTGTACCTTACTGATTACATATGATTATTTTATCTTAAGTTCTTATTCTTCATATGCTCATATTTTTTAGACAGCATGACTGTATTTAAGAGCTGTTAAATCCTTGAACTTCTTATGTATTTTATTCATCTATTTTTGTTCTAGAAATTTCTTTTAATGCATAAATACAAAGGATGCTTATTTTCTTGATATCTTTTAGATTGGGAGTATGTATTTGAAAACAGTGAATTTTCATCAAAGCAAGCTATTTGTGAAGAATCATCCAAAGTGGTGACAATAGGAAGAAGCCATCTCAGTTATGGCCTTGACTGCTCCAGTTTGAGAGAAGACTGTGAAAGTGAGGGCTGTTTTAAGAGCCAGTTGGGAAGTCAGGAAGCACATTTAAGTCAATTGATCATCACTCATAAGGAAATCCTTACTGAAGAACAAAGTAATAAATATAATAAATCTTGGCAAACTTTCCATCAGGATGCAATGCTTGATATACAACAGATCATTCCCACCAAAGAAACAGTACATAAGCATGAGCCACAAAAGAAAAGCTACCGAAAAAAATCTGTTGAAATGAAACGTAAGAAAGTCTATATGGAAAAGAAACTTTTGAAATGTAATGAATGTGAGAAAGTCTTCAACCAGAGCTCATCCCTTACTCTTCATCAGCGAATTCATACTGGAGAGAAACCGTATGCATGTGTTGAATGTGGGAAAACCTTCAGCCAGAGTGCGAATCTAGCTCAACATAAGAGAATACATACTGGGGAGAAACCCTATGAATGTAAGGAATGTAGGAAAGCCTTCAGCCAGAATGCACATCTTGCTCAACATCAGAGAGTTCATACCGGAGAGAAACCTTATCAGTGTAAAGAATGTAAGAAAGCCTTCAGCCAAATTGCACACCTGACTCAACACCAGAGAGTTCATACTGGAGAGAGACCTTTTGAATGTATTGAATGTGGAAAGGCCTTTAGCAATGGTTCATTTCTTGCTCAGCATCAGAGAATTCATACAGGAGAGAAACCTTATGTGTGTAATGTGTGTGGGAAAGCCTTTAGCCATCGTGGATACCTAATTGTACATCAGAGAATTCATACTGGAGAGAGACCCTATGAATGTAAGGAATGTAGGAAAGCCTTCAGCCAATATGCACACCTTGCTCAACATCAGAGGGTTCATACTGGAGAAAAGCCTTATGAATGTAAAGTATGTAGAAAAGCCTTCAGCCAAATTGCATACCTTGATCAACATCAGAGGGTCCATACTGGAGAGAAACCTTATGAATGTATTGAATGTGGGAAGGCCTTTAGCAATAGTTCATCACTTGCACAGCATCAGAGAAGTCATACCGGAGAAAAACCTTATATGTGTAAGGAATGTAGGAAAACATTTAGCCAGAATGCAGGCCTTGCTCAACATCAGAGAATTCATACTGGAGAAAAACCTTATGAATGTAATGTTTGTGGGAAAGCCTTTAGCTATAGTGGATCTCTTACTCTACACCAAAGAATTCATACTGGAGAGAGACCCTATGAATGTAAGGATTGCAGGAAATCTTTCAGACAACGTGCACACCTTGCGCATCATGAGAAAATTCATACTATGGAGTCATTCTTGACTCTTTCCTCTCCCTCGCCCCCCACATCCAATCAGTTGCAAAGACCTGTAGGTTATATCTCCTAAATATGTCTGGAATCTGATCCCTTTAATACATTTCCATTCCATCATCCTTTTCTAAGATACAATCTATTTGATGTGGACTGTGGAAATAGCTTCCTAATTGGTCTTCCTGTATCCACGAGTCTCCTTCAAATGTCCACATTATAGCCAAACTTAATTTTTTTAAATATAAGTTTACTCATACCATTTCTCCCTCGTTGAAATCCTTCAGTGATATCACATAGTTCTTAGGTTAAAAGCACACAATCCTCAAAATAGCCTAAGAGATCCACTTCCCCCATACCTGGTTTCAGTCTACTTTCCAAAGACCTATCATGTCAGTATTTATCTCATTCTTTGGATACTTAACCAGAATTAAGAACTCAGACTCCAGCACCAAATAGATCTGAGTTACAATCCTTGCTTTTCCATTTTGCCCACTTATTTTCGGGAACATCTTACTTAGCCTTTGTAACCTTCAGTCTTATTTATATTACAGGAATAATGGTACTACCTCAAAAGTTACTGGGAAAATTTAATGAGATAATGCATGTAAATTGCTCGGCAGCGTGCCTAGCATAAAGTAACAAGTCAATAAACTATGTGAAATAAAAAGATACTGTGGTATACAAAGAAGAGCTGATCATCTCAGCCATAATCAACTGAGAAATTAAAAAAGCATCTCAGAACTAGGAGATTAAAGGTTTTTGATTAGGAACAGTAGTCATTGTTCTAAAGGTGGGTGATGAGGCTATCCTATACTGTAGGATTCACATTAGATTCCATGATTATAAAGGGTAAGATCACATTCCAGCATGAACATACAGAGATATTACTTTGTTGGGTAAGAAAAAACTTCATTAGATGCTCAACTGTTCTAAGTCATATTTTAAAACATTTTTAATAAGACAAATAGAATTTACTAAGCTGTACATGTCATTTACATTTAAACAAAAAAAAAAAAAAAACTTGAAAAGATCAATAACCAAAGAATAGAAAAGTGTTAAACTCCCTTTTCTCTAATTGCAAGTGGAATTAGATTTATGACGTAAGACTTATAACATTAAAATTAGAAAAAGTTGTTAAGCTTCTAAACAGTAATTCCAAAATTAAAGGGGAAAAGAAACCAAAGCTATAGGTCAGTACTCATAAACTGGCTGCCCACAAACATGTTTGGTTTGGTATGCATCAAGTTTTAAATGAACATGATTAGCATGGCAGGTGTTCTCTAGTTCTCCACAGTCCCAAACACTCGGTTTTACTCTTTAGATTACTTACTTCGCTGGTTCTTGAAGGCTTTGAGTTTGCAATCAATGCAGTAACTAATTCACATATAAATGTAGATACAAAGAGAGTGATGAAAGTTTCATGAAGGATGAAAACGAAGACTAGAACAAGTAGACATTATGTTTTCCTGGGTTGAAGACTCAGCATCATAAAGATGTCAGCAGACCCCAAATTACAAGTCCTTGTACCTAACAACACCCCAAGGATATGTTTTTATTATTGTTTACATGCACACATATACATATGTATGTTTTTATGTGTGTGTATATACACATATGCACATTCATATAGATACATAAAATACATAATAAAGGTGATACTTCACATCAGTGATTAACTGTTAGGAAAGTTGACTGTACAAAAACTACAAGAAAATTATTTCCAAGTATTTTATTTAAATATGAAACAAAAATATTAGCGGACACTAACACACTTTCATAATCATGGAGTGAGAATAAGCTCCCTCAGCATGACATTAGATCCAAAAGCCACAAAGGAAAAAAGATTCACAGACTGGTTCCACAAGAACTTTAAAATGTTTGTACATGCAAAGACATAAAAAAGATTTTTAATCAGAATGAGAGAAAATTATTGCAACAAATATGACCTATGAAATTCATATCCTTAATATAAAAGTGCTCCTACAAATCACTTAGAAAATGACATCACATTGCACCCCCATGGGCAAAGGATATGAGCAGGCATCTTGTGACTGATAAACATGTGCTAAGTACTGAATCTCACTAGCATCAGAAAAAATACAAACCAGTGAAATACCAATTTTGCAACATTAGCTTGATAAAAATTTGCATTGTGAAAGGGTAGGGATGCAGACACTTGCACTGATGTGGGGAATATGAATTTGTACCTTTCTGGAAGGCAATTTGTCAATACCAATTTTCCACTGAAAACCAAGATTTTCTTTGGCAGTTAACAGATGGCACACAAGTTGTCTTCCCTCCATATCCCACTAAACAGATAAAAGAATGGAAAAGGTGCCAAACATGTATAATAAAAGCTATAAAAATTAAATGTACAGCTCTTCAAGCTAGCAATTTCACTGCTAGAAATTTATGCCAGAGAAACACAAGGGTTCAAGATCAACACACATGGGTGTCCACTGCACAATTATTTATATTAGTGAAAAACTGAAAATAAATGTTAATCATTCCATGATTAATAAACTATGATACACTGGTTCAGTAGGGTACCGTAAAGAATTTATATACATATATATCTAATGCTTATAATAGAAACATAGCCCTAATGCATATGTTAAATGAAAAGTTATATAGTTTGATCACAGTGTAAAATTCAAAATAATTGAAAACTCTACATTCATTCCAACAAATATTTATTCAACCCTTGTTATATGTCAGGATATATGCTAGGCGGTGGTGAAACAAAATAGACCCACTGTTAGGGAGATTAGAGTCTAACTGGAAAGAGTTTCTCAAATAATTCCACAACTATACACTTTGCCAACTGAATACTACTATGACGTAGCAGTACAGGGAGCTATGAACACATAAAACAGCAATTTGATTTAGTCTGGGGGTCAGAAAAGGATTCCCTGGGGAAATGCTGTTTCAACTGAGACCTGAAAGTTGAGAAGGCATTAACCAAAACGAAACCAGTTGCCATCAAGTTGATTCCAATTCATGGCGACCCCATCTTGTCAGAGTAGGACTGTGCTCCATAGGGTTTTCTGTGGTTGTTTTCGTGGAAGCAGATCACCAGGACTTTCTTTGAGGAGTCTCTGGGTAGCCTTGTACCTCCAGTCTTTCAGTTGGCATGTTAAGTGTGCCACCCAGGGACTTGAGAGAAAAAGTGAAGGAAGAGTGTTCCAGGCTAATATATCCAAAGCTTTGGGGGTGGGAGTATGAGTGTGGCCCACTGAGGGAGAGGGGTAATTGTTATGAGATTTAAGCCAGAGATAAATAGTTAATAAATCCTGCATATGCTTGTTTAGACCATGATAAGGATACTAATCTCTCTTAAAAGAATGCTGAGATCTGCAAGGTTTTAAGAGGGATATGATAGGGAGTAATGAGTTGGAATTGACAACAAGAGGTTTGGTTTGGTTGCACTGGTGATATGGAGATATAAAAGTATACAGTCACCACTTGAGAAGGCTATAGGGAAAGTGGTCCTTGAGTGAGGCAAGGAAGTGGTAGGAACAATCATAAAGTAAAATAAAGTTATGAGGAAGTTTGCTGATTATTAAGTGGTGGTCATTCCAGAGAAAAGAGGTGATAACTAGCCATGACTTAGTGTAAGGGAGGGATAGTTTAGTTATCCTCAATCTTGTACAAAGGAGACACAAAATGCAAGATCTGCCTTTGTCACAGTGAGAGCCACCGTCTTATCAGGATGCATATCTTGGGGTTGCCTAATTTACGTATCTAGGGCGTGAAATGGACAAAACACCGTCTCTCTCAGGCTCAGTCGACTGAGATTGTGGAGCTGAGTGTGAGAGAGGAGTAATTAGCCTGTATCCTCATCCTTTCCTGTGGCAAAGGTTAGTTAAATTTCCACAAGTCAAGTGAAAACAGTAGAAAGTGGCTTGTAATTAAGCTGCCTTTCTAGTAATTCTGAGATGACTGCGTGCTAGACAAGGCAACCCCAACAGCAAGAGACTGGGACTTGGGTAACAAAAAGTGGTTGAAGCTCACCTGGAATTTCTTTTATGGTCCTCCATAGAAGGCCTATATACCACCACTTGTCTGTCAGTTTGTCATACCGTGGTGGCTTGTGTTTTGCTGTGATGCTGGAAGCTATGCCACCGGTATTTCAAATACCAGCAGGGTCAACCACGGTGGACAGGTTTCAGTGAAGCTTCCAGACTAAAACAGACTAGGAAGGACCTGGTGATATACTTCCAAAAAAAAAATGGCCATTGAAAACCTTATGGATAGCAGCAGACCAGTGTCTGATACAGTGTTGGAAGATGAGCCCCTCAGGTTGGAAGGCACTGAAAATACTACTGGGGAAGAGCTGCCTCAAAGTAGAGTGAACCTTAATGATGTGGATAAAGTTTTCAGGACCTACTTTTGCTGATGTGGCATGAGTCAAAGTGTTGTACATGGGGTCCCTATGAGTTGGAGCTGACTTGATAGCACCTAATAAAAGACCTCCCTCACAGATGGTGCCAGGTAGAGACACCACCAAGAGAAAGTGAGGCTACTTACATAAAGGGCAGCAGATCTGATCTACAAAGAAGGTGGCCTAAGGAAACTTCAATTCCCTACTCCCTCCTCTTGAACTCTGTGGTGGTGTGGACTGATATATCTGCATAAGGAGGGCAATCTGACTGTATTAGGAGCCTTTAAAAGAATTTAGTAACTTCTGAATTTAAAGTAGTAGAGCCAAGATGACTTTGAAACCTAGTTAAAGCAACAAGACACAGATGTGGAAGCTCTTTGATGAAGAAACATCTGTACCTCTGAGCCTCAAAATCCTCAAAGAAGTGCTGCTAAACATGGCGAGGGCCCAGGGAGAGGAAATTGGTACTGCACTGAAGAGCGCAAAATTCCCCTAAGGCAGTAGCACACTGGGAAGGACAAGCGAGAGGGCACTTTGACTGGAGCCACCATATCACTTTGATCAGACTAGCTTTAGGAGTCTGCCTCCACTCTATTTGCAATTACAGAGTGGCAGAGGAAGGGGGCAAGAGGGCTTGAAGAGGATATATATGGGTTTTGAAAAGGCAATTTATCGTGTGGCAGAGAAAGAACTACCAGTGATGTGCAGGACTACAGTGAAGGCTAAATCCTTGCTACTCAAAAGTTGTGATATATAGACCAGCCACATCATTACCTGACAGTCTGTTGGAATTCCACAATCTTGGGCCCTAAGATTCTGCACCTAGTGGTTCAGAATCTGTTTTTACAAGATTTTCAGGTGATCTGAATACACATTGAGGTTTGAGAGATTCTGGGCTAAGAGAAATTTCCTAGTAGTCTGAAATACTGCCTTTTGAAAAATAACGGTCTGGAAGAGCTAGCTCCCCTTGTTCAAAATGTAAAAGTCCAACCTTTCATCAGAGACCCCATGAATAATGATAGACTCAGACTTATAGAATCTGCCCTCACCAAAACTGAACAAAATAATACACCAGCATCACTGAGAGATGAAAGTGGCAGTACCTCATATCACACACTATGAAAAGTATTATACAGAAACAACAAAGCCTAACTAAAAGAATATGCCAGTATATCTAGCACTCTCTGCCCTCTGGTAAGAGCTGAATAATAGATAAAAAGCAGGAGGAAGATTTCTGAAAATCTTCACTGATATATCCCAATTTGATGGACAAGATGCTGGTAGCACTTGGCAAACAAATGAACCCAAACCCACTGCTGTCGATTCCGACTCATGGTGACCCCATGTGTTACAGAGCAGAACTGAACTCCATAGGGTTTTCATGGCTGTAATCTTTATGGAAGCAAACTGCCAGGCCTTTCTTTTTGTGCCTACACTGAATGGGTTTGAACTGCCAACCTTTAGGTTAGTCAAGCACAAACCATTTGCACCCACAGGGACCTTAATACTGGACAAAGGTCCACAAAATTCCTTTAAAAATCCTTCACAAGGGGAGAGTGTTGACATGTCGTAGGGCTGGCAACCAATGTCACAAAACAATGTGTGTGTTTAACTGTTTAATGAGGAAAAAAAAATCCTTCTTCACTACAGATAGATACCAGTTTGGTTAGGAAAGGCAATTTGGTAACATCTAATAAAATATGCGTACCTTATGATACAATTTATCCTCCAAAAATAAAGTTTTCAAAAGCATATGTTATTCTATTACATAAGAAATATAATAGGCACGACATGAGACCGATGAAGGTAAGTGACTGTGGGCAGGGCATCCTCCTGCTCTTCCTCAAATCTTTAGGTATGTGGCCACTGACCTGGAACCAATCTCTCTGGCAGATTGACAGAGAAATTAACAAGGAAGTGTGTGCATGAGTGCATGCGTGTGTAGATAGAGAGGGAGAAAAGACATGCCTCTCCATGAGCTGTTTCTGTGCTATTTGCCCAGCCACTTTCTCTCAGGATTTTTATACTGATTTTAGAGAAATGATATGACAAGTTTAAATGAGAATTTGGTTGTTCCATTATCCTGTATGCATGCTCACCCCTCACAATTTTGGTTACTGTTTTCTCATTTGTGGTCGAGGTTAGACAGACCTAATCATGTGGTCCTACATCCTGCAAAGTTATCTTTACAAGATATGGATGCTCTCACGAATAGCTTTTGTAGAAGAAAAACTTACAAAGAGCCCAACTGTATAGACTAATTACAAAACAAATTTCCTTACATATTTTACACAAGCTAGAAAGAGGCACTGAAAGTTATTATATATAGTGAATAGCTGACAGGAAAAGAGCCCAGTACATATATCTAGGGTTTTCTCCATATTCCACTCCAGTGTTCTTACATAAAAATACCAATGTATTTATTTATATAGACAATTTATTTTCAAATAAAACAATAACTGAAATAATTTTCTCCCTGCTCTGAAGTTCGTCATTCTTTGGTACATATATTGGTTCTTTCCCCATTGACCTGTCTCAGCCATGTTAGATTTTCACACTATGAAGATCATATACTCTTAGATCCATGGCGAGAGTATGGTAGCAACTCTTATGCTCCACACCATTATGACTGCTATCTTTATCTACCTAAAGACACACTGATCTTTATTCTCACCCAGAAGTTTCTATCAGCTGGTTTGCCAGGTAGTCCCTTATATCTGATAGTTCTAGTTCTGAGAAACAGACTTAAACTCTTTCTTCATGTGACTTTAAATCAGGCTCAAAGCCCCATCCACAAAAATAGATTTAGAAATTCCACTTTGTTGCACTTGACCAATGAAATATCTTTAAAACAATGCTGGAAGTAGAACATCAGTAATTCTCATCAAATGAAAAATGATTTTTCAACACAATGACTGATCCAATCTTCTGAGCTTGCTACTTTGAAGACCTGTGATAAGGTAACTGCCTCAGTTGATTTCAAATCATCAAGTAAAACCAAAAAACCAAACCCATTGCCACTGAGTTGATTCTAACTCATGGTGATCCCATAGGACAGAGTAGAACTGCCCCCACAGAGTTTCCAGGAGCAGCTGGTGGACTCAAATGGCTGACCTTTTGCTTAGAAGCTGTTGCTCTTCACCACTGCACCATCAGGTCAAAAGTCATGAATAATGTTTGCTCTTTGGCTTTCAAAGTGGGGCACTTATCATCAGATGGTCCCATATGTACAAAATTTATGTTATAGACAAACACATTTTTCCCATGTCCATCCCTGCTTCTTTGATAACCTCAGCCTTCACTTTCACAGATTTAAAACAACCTTAGGCTTTTTCTTCAGAATGTGTATTCTGGTGTCGAACAAGGGATGAGCTGCGACTATAAGCCTTCCCACATTTACTACATTCATAGGGTTTCTCTGAAGAATGACTTCTCTGATGTCGAATAAGATCTGAGCCACTGCTAAATGCCTTCCCACATTCATTACATTCATAGGGTTTCTCTCCTGTATGACTTCTTTCATGTAGAATAAGGGATGTACGCTGACTAAAGGCCTTCCCACATGTTTTGCATGTATATGGTTTCTCTCCAGTGTGAATTCTTTCATGTTGGGCAAGGTGTGCGCTCTGGCTGAAGGCCTTCCCACACTGATCACACTCATAGGGTCTATCTTCAGTGTGAATCCTCTTGTGTCGAGTAAGGGATATGCGGTGACTGAAGGCCTTTCCACATTCCTCACACTGATAGGGTTTTTCTCCAGTATGGATTCTCTGATGTTCAATAAGAAATGACTGGCGGCCAAAAACTTTACTACATTTATTGCATTTGAAAGGCTTCTCTTCAGAATGAATGTTCTGATGTATTTTAAGGTTTGCAGTTCCAGAAAACATCTTCCCACATTCTTTACATTCAATAAGTTTCTTTTTCTTTGTATGAACTTTTTGATGCTGAATAAGGGATGAGTGCCGATTACAGACCTTATCACATTTACTGCATCTGTATAGTTTCTCTCCATTATGAGTTCTTAGATGTAGAATAAGGGTCGAAAGCCGCCTGAAGACCTTTTTACATTTGTCACATTGGTAGGGTTTCTCTGAAGCATGACATCTCTGATGAAGCAAAAGTGATGAAATCTTACCAGATGATTTCCCACATTTTCTACATTTGTAAGGATTTGCTAAAGGGTGCCTTCTCTGCTGTATACTCTGACTTGAGGCTTTCTCACGGTCATGGGTTTTCTCTCCGATATGACTTCTTTTATGCATAACAAGGACTGACTTCTTATTGAAACCTCTCCCACATTTATGGCACTTATGGATTTTCTGTCTATTGTGAATTTTCTTATGAAGCAAAATGGATGACATCCGACTGAAGGCTTTCCCACATTTTCTGCACTGGTGGACCTTCTCAACAATGTGAATTTTCTGATGTATACTGAGAGATGGGCATTGACTCAAGGGCTTCCCACAGTCAGAGGTTTCCTTTCCATCATGAATTCTCTCATGTAGAATAAGGGTTGTTCTTTGATTGAAGTGTTCTCCACATTTACCACATTCATGGCTTTTCTCTCCAGTGTGAATTCTCTGATGAAGAATGAGGGAGGAGATCTGTCTGAAAGCTTTCCTACAATTACTGCATTCATAAGGCTTCTCCCTAGTATGAGAGATCTGATGAAGTTTAAGAGATAAACTCCGACTAAAGGTTTTCCCACAGTCATTACATTTTAAAGATTTCCTCCTTAAATGCCCTTTCTTGGATTTTATTAGGACTAAATTGATTTTGCAGCTCCTCTTTCCTGTGGGAACTGTCTGTTGTGCAGAAATTGGTTTCTGATGAATGCTTTGTCCAGCTTTGCTGCATTGATCTGAAGGTAACTTCTTGGTCTTACTCTTAGACCCTGAGTCTGAAAGATACCAAAAAATTAAATGTTTCTGTTTTCCTGTGTTGTAAAAATGAAGCTTCTAGAAATATAAATGTAGGCATTATCATTATCAATCATAATAACAACAACAATGATGGGATAACCAGAACTGTAACTTTTTAGTATCTTATGATGGCTTCAGTTATGATACTAAGAGTTTTACAGAAATAGCTAATAACTGGAATTCAGGGAGTTTGCAATTTGAAAATGAATAAATGAAGGTTTTATTTATAGGATAAATTTTATATCATTTACCTCATTAAACTCCTTAGATTATTCATTAGATAAACGTATTTTTATTATATGAAATGTCCAGAAAAGGCAAATCTACAGAAGGCAGATTAGTGTTTGCCTAGGGCTGGAGGTGGGAACAGGGATTAACTGTAAACAGGCATGAGGGGTCTTATTAGGGTGATGAAAGTGTTCTAAAACTGGATTATGGTGATGGTTACACCTTGGTAAACATCAAAAATCATTGAATTGTACCCTCAAAATGGGTGAATATTATGATATGTAAATACCTCCATAAAGTTGTAAATTTAAAGTGTATTCTTAAAATCAAATGTTAAAAACAAAACAAAACCTAACAACTCTTAGAATTCATTGAGTATTAAGATATTTAGAAGAGTAAAAACTTTCAACTCAGAAGGAGTAGGAAAAAAATCTAAGCAAAAAAGATAACACACACAAAAAAATTATCTATCAATTTAGTAAAATGAAAGTACAAGTTATTTTAAAATAACTACTGGTATTATATAATGATTACAACCTTTGGATCATATGGCACAATAAACAAACCCAGGTTTTAGAGCTGTGCTGTTCAATACAGAAGCCACTAACACATGCAGCTACTGAGCACTTGAAATGAGGCTGGTCTGATTTGAGATGTGCTATGAGTGTAATAAAGGAGCTTGGGTGGCGCAGTGGCTAAGTGCTAGGCTGCTAATCGAAAGGCTGGCAGTTCAAACCCATAAGTGGATCCGCGGGAGAAAAGACCTTGCGATCTGCTTCCGTAAAGACTATACAGCCTAGAAAACCACATGGGGCAGTTCTACTCTGTTCCATAGGGTCACTATGAATCAGAATCAACTTGATGGCAATGGGTTTGGTTTTTTGGTTTTGGTGAGTTGTCATGTACATACTGCATTGTAAAGACAGTACCAAAAAAAAAAGTAAACTATCTCATTTTAAAAGTATCGATTACATGTTGAAATATTTTGAATATACTGGGTTGAATAAAATATAATAAAATTAATTTTACCTGTTTCTATTCATTTTAACGTGGATACTGGTACATTTTTAATTACATATGTGGCTCACATTGTATTTCCAGTCGATGGTGCTGCTTTTAAGGCACTCCTCCACTCTCCTCCTTGCTCACTCTCCTCTGGTCACAGTGGTCTTTTGCTCGTCTGTGAACATGACAAGCTTGGCCAAATTCATCCTTGCTGTTGTGCCTTTGATTTCTTCTTCCATCTTTTTAGAGCTCTGCTCCTCACCTCTCCTCCAAAGCCATTACTGAGAGCTCTGCTCAATGGCCACCTCCACAAAGAATCTTCCCTGACCACCCAACCTACAGCAGCAGCCCTGTCGCACTCAACCCCTTTTCCCTGCCTTGTTTCTCTTCAAAGCATTTACACTATTTGATTTGTTATAAATCCATATTTATTCGTTTATCTGTCTCCCCTGTTGTTCTTGTTGGCTGCTGTTGAGTTGGCCCCATGCACAACAGAATGAAAACCCTGCCTGGTCTTGCACCATCCTCATTGTTGGTTGAGGAATGGACCACTGTGATCCATAGGTTTTCACTGTTTGCATTTCAGAAGTAGATCATCAGGCGTTTCTTCCCAATCTGTCTTAGTCTGGAAGCTCCGCTGAAACCTGTTCAGCATCATATCAACATGCAAGCCTCCAATGACAGACGGGTGGTGGCTAGGCATGAGCTCCCCTACTGAATGTAAATGCCATGAGGGCAGAGAACTTTGTCTACTATGTTCACTGTTTATCTCCTAGTAACACAGTGCCTTGAGCAATACCTAGCAGAAGCGAGGCACTCAAAAATGATTGTTTAAACAAGGGTCTCTCAACTTCAGCACGACAGGTAGTCCTTGACTTATGACATATTTGAGTTTCAATGAACCGTACTTTGTTTTACAATGAACCATCGTTTTTTGTTTTTTGGTTTTTTTTTTTTTTTGGTTCATCGTATCGTTAGGAGTATGTACTACGTACAATGTTGTAGTGCGTGATTTGCTGATGCTATCATTCTCAGATGTTCACTCGCGGATGTTCAATGTTATGATTTGTAAAGACACTGATAATAACAGGCAATAATAATGAAAACTAAAAAAAAAGAGGTATTCAACTTACGTCAGGGCCGATTTATGACAGAGCCATCAGAACAGAACCTGGTCATAAGTCGAGGACTACCTGTATTGACATTTGGGGCTGGATAATTCTGTTGTGAGGGCTGTTCTGTGCACTGTAAGATGTTGAGCAGCATCCCTGGCCTCTACTCACTAGATACCAGGAGCACAGCCTTCCCTATCCACCAGTTGTGACAACCAAACACATCTCCAGACATTGCCAAATGCCCTCCGGGGCTAAAATCACCCCTGGTTGAGAACCCCTGGATTGAACAAATGAGTGGTACTGGTTCACCTAGGTTTGAAAATCCTAACCCCAAAATGCTCTTCTGCCAACCTCTAAATGCATTCTTTAAGCTTATGATTGATTTTATTCTAGTTTTGAGCCTTATCTTTCCTACAGGACAGATGGGTTATCATGACAATAATATAATAATAATAAGAGCTTACATTTCTTAAAGACTGTTCCAAATTCTTAACATATATCATCTCATTCGATCCTCATAGCCACTCTGTAAATTCACAGCTACTAGACAAGGAAACAGATCCACAGTAGATAAGTAATTGACTCAAGGTAACGTGGCAACTAAGTGGTAGACCTGAAGGCAAATCCAGGCAGTCAGATGACCAAGTTGGTACTCTTATCTACTAGCCTATACCACACTGCTGATCCCTAGCCCCTAGCAAGGGTGTGTAACATGTCCAATCAGAAACTAATTAGTGCTAGTTAACTACTTAAAGTGAGAATGGTAAGATTTCAGCTTGCTTATTTTGGACATATCATTAGGAAAGATCAATGAGGGACCATCATGGTTGGTAAAGTGGAGGGTCAGTGAAAACAATGGAAACCCTCAAAGAGATGGGATGACACAACAGCCACAACAATGGACTCAAATATATCAACAATCATGAAGACGGTGCAGGAAGGTAATGTTTTGTCCTGTATACATAAGGTGGCTATGAGTCAGAGCTGTCTGGAAGGCAACTAACAACAACAACAAAGAAAATAAACATATAAAAGAACATACAACTTGGCCAACCAAAGAGGACTCTATTAGGAAAGGGAATGAATCATGGAAAGGTAGCCAAAAAGAACATGTATGGAAAATATTTTAATTCTTTTAACTAACAAAGAAAATTATGCAAATTGAGCACTCTCATTAGAAGTGTATCACTGGAACTCAGAATACACCTCCTCTGAAAAAGAAGGGAAATATGAAAGCAGGTTTTAAGAGCTGAGCTTCTGAATGCTGGCCTCCTGAAGTTCAAACCCAGCTCCTCTGCCACCTCCCTGCTGTGTAACTTTGCGGGCAAATCACTGAGCTTCTCTGGTCCACAGTATCCTCCTCTGTAAAATGGGAATAATAGTACCTACCTTACAGGGTTGTTCAG